CCCCCCCCCCCATGTTCTCAAATCTTTTTGTGTTTTTGATTTTCTTGACACGAATTTTGGAGAAATTATCTCCAAAGAGATGTTTTAGAGCCCAATAAACCATGCGTTGTATTGTCTTCTTATAAAATAAGGTTTTCGGTGAGCTTTGATTGAGGAAGCTATTCAATTGGATTATCGGTTAGTGGAAAAAATATATATATACACATTACAATAGGATTTTGTGTAAGATTTGTTCTCTTTCTCTCATCCTAGAGCTTTAGAGCATCTTTAGTATATGTTTAATCTTTGATTTCTAACGTCATTTGGATTCATATTCACATCTTCGCTGGTCTGAAACCAGTTTTCAGATGCTTATCCATGTTCACCTACATATGTATCTCTCCATGTTTGCTGTTTTGCAGTATGGTATAATGGTGATCACATCTTCGAGCATTTAATTCATTTAAAAAATCCAACTACTTCTGTGCCATCACCATCATCTAATCTCTTTAGCATTATTATATAATAGGCCATATGATGCTTGAAGATGTCCACCAACAGAGCAACAACAACAGTCATAAGAGAAGATTTAGAGAACTACATTCTCTAATGAAGTAACAATCTATTCATTAGATTGCATCATTCATATTCAGCTGGTATGGGAGGACACTTGCAGGAGATGTTTAAATTCATACTCATCGTCACTAAGAGTTATAAGGAGAGCTGTTGGTAAACTTTTATGAAAGACAAATCAGTAAAAAGAGATTTGGTTGAATTAAATTTATTGAATTAGATCAGCAAATTATTTGAATTTAAAATATATATTTGACACACTCATGGCAGTCACTTATTATCGAAGTAAAATATAAACAAAGTACATTATTTCATTTTCGTGGGATATATCATATTTTTGGTAATAATGGGAAACTGCATTGACAGTTGGATCAAGAAGAATACATCTACGTAGACCGTATATAACGTTTTCATAATTAAACTACAATAAAATTAACTCATAAAGTAAAAAATATTTTAAATTTCATCTTAGATTTAAAATTCAACTATTTGTAAAAAAAAAAACTATCTTTAAATATTGTATTCAATCACCAAACCTATCTAAAAACAAGTATAATATGATACTTGGTTTGGTCTTTTTTTTTTCTTTTTTGTAAACTACTTGGTTTGGTTTTGGTTTCATGTTTTTGATCAAAAATTAAAATAATATAAAAAATTGTATGTACTTATTTCAACTACTATATGAAAAAATGGTCAAATGTATACAAGAATTAAGATAAATTTGTTTACTAAGCATAAACCACAATAGAAGAAGTTAAATGGTACAGAATTTTAAAACATAATTTAACAACAAATAAAAATCAAAACACACTTTAAAACATGAATAAATATCATTTACTAAATAATATATATATATATATATATATATATATTTATTTATTTATTTATCCCGCGCGAAGCGCGGGCTTTCCCTAGTCATAAATAAAAAATACAAATTAAGCTTATAATATATCTAAAAATCAACAATTTACAGAAAAAAATAATTAACCAAATCAATTCACAAATATAAACAAACATTATCATTAAAAATTTTGATTTTCCATTAAATCATATATAAAAGATAATTTGCGCTGTAAAAGTGCAAGTTAGATTCTAGTAAAACTTATAATTAATTGAAAAAAACTTATACTTGAACAAAGTAAAATATACGGGCTGATAACTGAAATATTTTATTTTATCATAATACCTTTTTAAAATCAAATTTAAAATAACATTATTTTCAACGTACAATCACCACTTACATAAAAGTTTCCTTTTGATTTAGAGAAGTAATACAATTTAGATCCTTTTTAGTCACTGTTTCAGCAACTGAAAACAGGGAAAAAAAAAACCTAGATCTTCAGCTCTCAAACACTTGTACTGTCTCAAATGAAACACAAGAGATCAACCCAAGAGAGGACTCTTTCTTTGTGGAGCAGGACACTTGAAGTCTCGAGGTGGAGTCTTACCACAGTCAACAAGAAGCTCAAGAGCAATGGGAATAATGAGGTCAATATTGAGAAGCTTGGCTCTAATGGTGGTGCAGAGACAAACCGCTGCGTCAAGACCCACTAAACCACCAAGAACCGGGCAACAAGTTGCCTTTGCGTAGCTTTTCCCTAGTCCGATGTGAATCAAACCGCCTAACACGTCCACACAGGCGCCTAGCTTAAGCGCGTCGATTGAGCATGTCTCCGGTTCAGGTGTTGGTGCTGGAGGTGGAGGAGGACATGGGGTTGATGGTGGTGGTGGTGGCGGCGGGCACGGCGTCTCTGGGGTTGGAACAGGTGGTGGCTTGACGTACGGTGGTGGAGGCGATGGGGTTGAAGTTGGCGGTGGTTTGACAGTGGGAGGTTTTGGAGTGTACGGAGGGTATGGAGTGTACGGAGGCGAAGGCTTGACAGTTGGCGGTTTCGGAGTGTGAGGAGGTGGTTTAACTGTGGGTGGTTTTGGAGTGTAAGGAGGTGGCTTAACGGTGGGTGGTCTTGGGGTGTGAGAAGGTGGCTTGACGGTGGGTGGTTTGGGCGGTTTTACGGGGTGTTTTGGGGGTTTTACGGGGTGTGGAGATGGTTTTGGAGGGTCACTACAGTCACAAGCATAAGAGAGGACGAGGAAACCAAGGAGGAGAAGTATCACAAAGAATAGGTTTTGTTTGTAAAGAAGCCCCATCTTGAGTTTTAGGGTATGATTTAGTGATTAAATGATGAAGTACGTTAAAACTATTGAGTGTCTTCGTCTTTATATAGAACAAAGGAAACTTTAAGAAATTTGTATTCTTTTATGAAATTATCATCATCCGTGATGATACGAACGTGCCAATTTGCGATTTATATAAGATGAGTGGAGTTGGACTATAGTATAATTAGTACAATAATGCAACATCACTTTAATGTTAAGAGCAATCTTAATGAGAGGTTCTAGCTGTGAGGTTCTCAAAAAAAAAAAAAATTATATATATATATATATATATATCAGTATTTAATAATGAAATTCTGTGCAAAGAACTTTGGATTGTGTATGCCTAAAACTAAAAACTTTATAATTAAATAATAATATTAATATATATATTTTTTTTTTGAGAACATCGGATATATAACTCCTATTGAAATACGTAGAGATTTTTTTTTACGAAGATAAACAAAACAAGTACGTAAAAAAGGTCTCGTCAAACTTTCCGGATTTTCGGTATGTTCGTAGTTGTACAACTTTATTTGTTTGCCAAGAGGCAATAGCTGTACATATAATTTTTGTTATAAACATATGAGCATTTTTACTAACAAGAAAAAAAACATATGAGAATTTAATGCATATAAACAAATGACAATTTATCAAAAAAAAAAAACAAATGACAAACGAGAAGAAACTAGAAAATAGTTGCTAATTCACCAATTGGTTTTGTTTACAGAAATTTCTTTTTTTTTTTTTTGAAACTAAATTTTTCATACACCAGAAATTTCTTTTAAAAAACTAAAATATATTAAAGTCAGAAAAATATTTTCGGCTGGAAAAGGCTAATATAAGAGAGGAGGATCCGGATGATCGATTCGCGGTGTTGATGCAGCCTTTTTTTATATCTCAAATTTTGATTTGTCAAACTGATATCGATTGATTATTACTTATCAGTGACTTAGGGTTGAGTCGTATTGACTAAAGAGTTATTAACACAAACAAGCAGTTTATATGTTTTTATTATACTCTAGAGCATATTATGCTACACAGACATTTTTTAGTGGTTGAATACCAAATTATCTCCTAAAATATAAAATTAGGGATGGGCTTTTAAGTAAAACAACATTATATGTTAGTTGGGCTGGTTAGATATTTGTTTTTAGTTTTATGATTTTTCGTTTTGAATTTCTTCTATTTTGTGTGGTGGATCCGAAAGAAACATTACACTAAGTTTATTTTTGATTTTCTCTTTTCTTTAGTGGACCTCGTAACCGAAAATTTTAATTTTGACGATAGAGTTGTTGGCTAGGTGGATGACGACGAGATAAAAAATAACTGGGGAAGAAGAAAGCCGATCAAATGTGAGTTCTTGATAATCATTTTTCATGTTTTATGTTTAGGTCAGTTGTAACGAATCTGAGATATATATGCTTGATGAAAGCTTGATGAAAAACAATGGCCATTTTTGGTTTTATTTCACATCTGATCCTTGATTTTTAGTATATTTATTTCTGCCTCAAACAATTTTGAGTTGCAAATATATCATTTTCAAATTGATTCTTCACTTTTTAATTGTACATATCAGACCTTCCATGATTACACGGGTCCTTAAACTTCTAAATTTTTTTTGTTAAGCTTTTAACAGATATACACCACCAACCTTTAATGTACACATGTACACTAACGAATGTACACAACTTAACAACATGCTAAACATCTAACATGTATTTTGTTTTCTGTACAATGTGATTTTGTACACTCTATGTCATGTGGACGTGTACATAGAAGGTGACTGAAAATATGTGGTGTCATTATATACATATATATGGATTGAATGTTGATTACTCAAAATGTCAAAATAAATATGTACTTATGTACTTGAATCATGTCTCACTAATGATTCTAAACCCATAATTCGAGCATATCAATTTTAAAAACTCTTTTTTATGTACACTATATCATGTATATAAAAAATTTCATTATCCACATGTACAATTGAACCATTGTACATGATTAAGTTGTACAATTATATACGAATGTCAGATAATTTTATTATTTTATTTAGATAAACATTAAACATGTAAGCCTTCCAATCTAGAGTAGTACCAATCTATAAAAAGAATATGTACACCTATTTATTTGTACATTGTTCAAGTTATGATAATGATTTCAATAAGTTTTAGTTGGTTGCTCAAAAAAGAAAGATAAATCACATGTGTACATTTAGAAAGTGTTTAAGTTATCACCTAGGATAAAATTGAAAATTTGGTATTTCATTTAGACCATTTATACTAGCCATCCATAATATACTGTCTCCAAAATCATTGAACTTCTTTTGAGGTTTTGGGTTTGCTTCATTGACATTTTAAGTAAAACATCTGAGGTATAAGCGAAAATAAAACAAAATGGCAAGAACCAATGTTTCAAAATCTGAATATTTGTTTGGTTTCGATTGTACATTAAAGTTTTGGGACAAATTCGTGGATAAACTTAAACAAAAAAGAAGCTTAAAACAAATTAGAGAATAAATAAGAGTTAAAAAACCAATTGTGCAAATAATCAAAAAATCACCATTGTTGTACTAGTGAAGAGAAAGCTTCACTAGTACAACAATGGTGAACTTTTGAAGCTTTTTATTCGACATGCGACTAAAGCAACGGCGAATCTGGCGGTCAAAACTCTAAACACGAGCTTGTTAACCACGACGGTAAAGCTATGTTGGAATAGAATTCGTGGTTTGAGGTTACCGAAAACGGAATTCTTGTTGAAGAAGGAATGTCGGTTGTTCAGAGGTGAAGACATAAGAGATTAAGGTTACAATTTCAGTTGTGGAAAATGAATGTTTTTGAGGTATAAATCAAAAGAATTTATTTACAAATAAAACATATGAGGTATAAAAAAAGAAAATATAAAAAAGAAAAAAGTGAAATTTTTTTTTTAGATTTAGTTATTGAAAAATAAAAAATAAGATATAAATTAAAATTGGTTCTAATTCAACTAGTGAATAATTGATTTAGTTAGAAATCATGAAAGAAGTGAGAGAAGAATGTTCCAGTAGAACAAACTACCCTATAATGTTAATAAAAACATAAATCTGTCTTTCACGGTAATTTTTTCATGACTAAATAGGTTCTAAATTATATTAGATTCAATACATATCAAAGTTTAAATCCTAGACAAGTAGGGATTACTAATTTCTCTCAATCACAGAAGGTAAAATATTTGTTGTATTAGTGCATATATATACATGATTAGCAGTTTCTCGATGTCTCATGTATCATAAACAACACATACTTCCTTCCTTTGAGAGTACAAGAATTTAGACACAGCCCTGATTACCTTCTTGGCTACGGCTAATTATGTACATTGACAGCAACAACAAAAAGACTGCGAGATTCGAACTATATTGTAATGTTAAAGTGGCGAGACGATTGATGACGGAAGTTGTCTTTATTATTTGACTGAAGAGACACTTCTCAATTTTGTGAACCCAAAGATGTATAGAGGTCCTTCCTCTTTTCTTGCTCCTTCGATTATTGGGTCTACTTTTTATTAGAATCTAGGCAATTTTGGAATGTAGTTTTTTTTTTGTCCATACCTATAAACTTTGCAGCCTACATCTAGTCCATAACAAACACACAAATAGAGAAAAGAGAATCAATTCTAGATAGGTCCAAAGCTACAGTAGTTTACGTATAATCAATGTCAAAAGTAATGACACTGGTCGGTGTTTGTGTTAAAGTATTTCAAAACAAATTAGATTACAGTTTACCCATGTGTGCCATGCAGAATCGACTGCTAAAATAATGTTAGCTTGGCTTTCATATAACTTATCCATTGAGGTCAAACACTTTTTCAATGTACATATAATATAGTACCCTTTTGTTAGACTGGCATCAAATGTTTCATTTCACAAGCCATTGATTTAAGACAAGACATGATTACTGTAAACCTAAATTAGCATGAATTTTATTTTTCGACATCAGTTAGTATTATTTTAGATGCTATAATATTTATATATTTCCAAAACTCAAAAACAAGAAACCTACCAAACACGTATAATCATAAACCATCTATTATCCAGTAATCAAAAGATGCACATAGTACTTTTTTTTCCTCCAGCTTTTAAGATTTAAGCTTTTCACGAGATTGACCAAAAAAAAAAGCTTTTCAGGAGAAGTTGAGTGAGTCCGTGATTTATGATGATCTATGCATGAAATTATTTTCATATTTGTCCCTCTGTGCCATAGTTGCGATCGCTAACATAAACTCCATTATATATATTGGGATAGTTGAATATAGAATAAGCATAAGTTAACTCTGTCGTCAAAACTATTTTAAAGACTACATATTTAATTTATTTTTGAAAATGGGGAATATAAGATAGTATAAAATGAAAAAAGAGGATAGTATAAAATGAGTAAACAAAGAGATACATGTATGGACGCGGGTGAGATTTGGCGTGTAGTGAAAACTGTTGTAGTAGCCCGTGAACCCGTTCCTAACTTTTTTTGTGTGTTGTCTCAATATATATGTTCAGATACTTTTTTTTAAAGGGCTATATGTTCATATACTTTAAATTAATATGGGAAATTGGGTTCTATAACCTTACAAAAACATAATTGATGAGATAGCCACTTTCTCACCATTTGTTTTTATATAATATTGCTAAACTACCCTTCTATCCAACCGATAAAACTTGCAGTAAAAATTAACTTTAATTAATAGTCAGTGACTGAAAAAAGCATGGTATTTAATACCCACACATGTCTAACAAAGTATATTGGTAAAATACGGAAAGGTTAATAGATTCATTTCCAGATTTGGGCAGTGATTCCGACGCCACTGACAATATTTTTGGAGAAGTTTTATGGAGGAGAAAACCATTGTCGAAGGCTCGGTAAGTGACAGAAGACACGAGTAAGACGCATCGTAACGGTGGTTAAACAAAGTCACATTCTCTATTATGTAAGTTGCTTTGCTACTCTTAAATTCTCTGAATTTGCATTCATCTATTGTTATATGTCAGAATCTGATATTATAAAATAAAGTAATCAAAAGTTTGAGTTTTATGTTTATAAGAAAACGGTGCTTATCTTCTATTTGCAAGATAGTACAGTTGACTGCGTATA